CATCGTGCGAGTTGACCTTTCTTCCGTCAAAGTAGAGGATGTAGAAATAGGTGAGGAAGGTGTTGAATCGTGCGAAGACATTTTTTTATATCGGTATAAGGCGTAATGAATCTGGTTTATGCGATGCGTTATGACCTCCGGCTGAAGTGAGATAATGCAAGGAATAGAATGAAAAAATTTTTTGGACGGATCAGTGTCTATTTATAGTATGCATTATACAAAGTCGGCAGAAATACGACGATCTCGGAGATTGCGGTGATTCCGACTTCCTAAGTCATAAGTCCTTTGATATACGCACTAATGGAGATTGAAGGTCTGATCCTCCTTACCGCCTTTTCGAGTCTCGTTTACGCTGGTTCTTATCATAGAGCATGTATATTTTTCCCAGACTAGTAACGGAAAAGTGATAATCTATGTTGTACTAACTTCTACGTCGATCACTTATTTGTCGGTTAAATACGTAATGCGATTTACGTAAATATATAATACTTTCCTTACCGCTATTAGCACACCTTCGGCAAGAAAACACGAATTAGATTTAAAAGAACTATAAGGGGAATGGGCTTATCATTTCTCATTAGTAGTTTAATCAAAGTTCATATGCTACAATGACTTTGCATTTCCCAGATCATCGCGATCATTGACTTTTTTACTCTGCCGGTGGATCGTCGAAATTAAGGGGCACGCTTTACGAAAATTACTTAACTTCTAATGGTCCTGGACGGTATAAAATACTTCGTTTTTTCCTCTTGTAAGGTGGGTATCAATAACGTTTTTTAACGCTAATTCGAAGTAATGTACTATCGTTCAATATACCACTATTAATTAAGACTATAAAAACATGTTTACTTACTGCGAACTTTGTATTTAGGACCGTGAAGATGAGCAGTACTAACGATAGTACCACCCCCAAGAACAACGATAGCACCGTCCCCAAGAGCAATGACAATAATACCTTCCAAACTAGGGATATTTCTTTCAATGTCCCCAGAATCGTCACTCAAACGCCATCTAATCCAAGATCTAGCCAAAGGACACCTAATCCTAGTCGTCAACACAGAAATAAAAGAGACAGCTTTGGTAAGTAAAATCTTGCTAAAGTTAAAGATAATTAAAAATGTTGATGTAACTTTAATAAAATTGAAAAATGTTAATTTATTATATTAATTTAGATGATCTGGACTATGATCCGGAAGAAAAAATTTTTAAAGAAAATCCCCTTCATTTCGTTAGTCCAGAATATGCACAAAAATGTATAGATAATGATGATTACGATATATATCCTCCTGAAGTCGCCCAGGAAATCTTAGATCAATTGTAAAAAACCAACTGCTTGATCCATATTTTTTGAAACATATATCTTTTTATCTGTATGCCGTTTAGTAATTTTTTTATATAATAAAGAACGGGCAGTAGGCATCCGATTTTCTACACACGACATCGCTTCCCTAAGGCCCATTATAACGTGATGTAATTGTTTAATAATTTTCCTAAAGTTAAGGCACAAAGTGCCATTTCTTCGAAATACAGTTTTTTAATTATTTGCACTTCATGCCTCTGATTAGATGGATCACACCAGGAAATTAGCAGGAGATTGCCTCATCTTGATTGGTTGATCGTCGTATATATCCTTACCGATTATCAGCGATTGCTTCCCACGTTTTTTTCGCGAAAGTATACGTTATTCGTCTGGCACGTAAGTGCCCTTGCTTTGCAAGTGAGTAGGACATCGGCTCATCACGAAGTGAGACGGCTCGTCGAGTAGTGTTGCTTTTATATTTTCCCGCCTACTAGTAATACACCGTAAACTTAGCAATTATGTCATCCAACAATATGGGAAGAGAAGAAACCGCCACATCGGATGTACCAGCTACGAAAAGGAAATTATCACGACGCCTCCGATGTAATAAGAATAAGAAACTCAAGTGGGAGCAAGAGCATGTCGAGGTATCTTACAAATCGGAAGACGTACCATCGTTCCCTAACCCTCTTGTCGATTCTGATATTATCTTCAATCCGCTAAGGTATAATATTTTTTTATCTTCGAATTGGTTACCTTTGTACGAAATTCTAGTATAGTTCTGTGGATAAGCGTTCCTCTCTCTTTCTGATCGTATATCCTCTAAAGAAAATAAAACTCAACGGAATATTTCAGCACGAGATCTATGACCCAAAGGGTCGCCCCTAAAGGGCCTGATTGCAGAAATTAAATCTGTTCTAGCTAATGATGGAGCTTGTTCGCATTTTGATAGACCCTTTGGGTCATTGCTTCGCAATAATATCGATCTTTGGCTTGTTTCATTAATGTGCCACCTGGTCGATATAGCCATTTAATTAATGCATGCTGGATTATTTTAGCGGAATTAATTTGTTTTTTCCATAAATGATATGTCTGCTGAATAATTAATGACGCACAATTTTCTTTATATAATGCTAGTTGAACTTTAAAATTTCTATAATTAGGATCATTACCTATTTGCTGATGGCTGGTTAAATTATTTTTGATGCGAAATACAAAATTTTCCCAGTAATCTCTATTATTTATTTCATATCCTAGTTTTAATAAACGTTTGCGTACGTATTTTGGTGGATAATATTTTGCAAACCGTAACCATGCTTCTGACGTTTTAATATTGTTAATGATATAATTTTCACCATATTCACTTAACCTGTCTCGTACTCTGCTATAACTCATTATATATTTACTACTTATTTCAGACATATTTAATATGGTTTTAATTTTTGCATATATAAATGATTAGAAGATTAAAATCAGATGCTACATGCTTATCACCCGAAGCAATTAGTGATATAATTACTACTAAGGATTTAGCAAATGCATTACGGGATCTAGCTAAAAAATATAATGTATCATATGCACGAATTCGTGAAATATGGGAATTTACTATTGCGGTAAATAATTAATATTTATTGTATAGTTGTGCCATTCTCAATTTTACTCAGTTTCTCTACTAGCTTGTCTAATGGAAGTTCCAATCCACATCTTCTAGCTTCTATCTGATTCTCGGGTGATAATCCACGGAGGAACTGTTCCTTAAGGTATATTTCGTTATTATTTACACCCAATGCTGTTATGTAATATTTCACCATCTTATAATATTTTTTTACTGGTAGAGATATTTGTTTTGGTGGCGGGAGCTCTCGTGGAATATCCAATAATATATTGGTCCCATCAAGCAATGTGAGAGTATGATTGGAAAAATTTATTTCCGAGATATTTGCCTGGATCCATGGTGAACCTAATAACAGTACATGTGCAAATTCGGGTTTATTATGAACTAAAATATCATTAACTTCTACCTGTTTCCATTTATTATCTTTAGACCAGAAAGAGAGGTTTATTTTATGAACCATTCCCAATATTGTCATGCTATCTTCTATGGTTAAATTATCCGATGATTTTTCAGATGGAAAAGAGATTAATAGTTTTGCTTCTTCTTTATGGGAAGTATTAATCTCTAAGCCTAATACATCTATTAAACCCCTGCCTAAAATATTACAATTGGTGGCGGTATCTAATATAGTTTTAACTGGTACTTTGTTAATTTCGCAAGATAAAATTCTCATCGTGACGTTTTATTATAACAATATATTTAATTCTGCATTTTTAAATTTGTATTAATAAATAATAATTTTGTATTTACAATGACTGAAGCTAATAATAATATTGATGGCAACCTAGTGGAAGAATCCATAAAAAACTTTAAACGATGTTTGATTGACGTCAATGATGAAGTTGTGGAAGGCATAGTTGATTCAGGCTCAAAATGTCCAATCATCACTTATGAGATTGCAAAAAAATTGGGTTTTGTAAAAGATAAAAGTTTACCTAATATTACCGATAAAGCAGTATCTGATATTGTTAAGCAAGTATCGGGTAAAAAAATCTGGATCTCTCTTCATTAATTACTAAAGATAGTAAAACCCGAGGTTCATCAGGAACTTATAAACTTGATAGCAAACCCCGATATTTCTCAAAGAAATCATACACTATATAAGGCTAAAAGAAAAAAGAAAATTTTAAACGATACAGCATCTTCATCCGAATCCTCGTCTTCATCTGAATCTGGATCTGAGTCTGACTTTGAATCGTCTAGCTACAAAGTGACTACCCCGGCAACTATGATAAAGATTTTACTATAGATATGGTAAAAGCGAAGAAGCGTAATTAATTACCATCATTATAAAAGCGGAATGGTCTCGCTTCTTCGGGTTTTTGTCTGCGCCTTCTGTAGTTTACTACAACATAATTTTGCACAGGAGAAGTATGGTTGTCAGATAAGTGACGTAAACACTCTCCAGCAATTGTATAAGCATGGGCCATATTCTTAGCCTCATGTGTTACCACACCATAAACGGCACCCATTTTTCGTAAATATTTAGGAACCAGATCATAATCTTTTAAGAATCTATTGAACCATTTAACTCCTGGCTTACCTGGATTACCTATTCGGCCAAAAGATATTGCATGCTGAATCCAAGTGAGTAATTCTCTGGCTCTTTCTTGATCCTTCTCCATAGATCTAAATTTTCTAGGAATATCTGGTTGACCTCGATTCTTTGCATAACTCGTTACTCCAATATCTGTAATACGTAAAGTTGTAAGTTCAGCGGGACGTATACAGAGCATCACCATAACATCAGCAAGAGCCAAATAATCAGATGGAGTTTTTAAATCATACGCATCTAATCTCTCTTTAACCGATTCTAATGTAAATTCATCCGGATAGTCAATACGATTAACTTCAGCCTTTTTCCGATTATCCTTCTGGATTTCGTTGGCTTTTTCTGTAAAATCAGGAAATTTTGTGGCCTCAACTATTGTGGGTAAAGCACCAAGGCTTCTTAATTCTCTTCTGAGTCGGGAAAGACGTGATGAACCAGCATTAGCATTTTGTGCTGATAGGGCTAAGGCATAAGCTTCAGCTCTTATATCCCGAATACTAAGTTTATTCCGTAAAAGCCGATGCGCCATCTCTCCAATTGTTTCTCGTGTGGCTTGATTGGAAATAACAATGTTTACTGTGGAACAGGGCACTTTGTACGTAGTTTTGCTTTTTGGTTGAACATTTTTCTGAATAGAGAGGTGACATAAGTCGCTTTGCAAATCAAATAAGTTATCAACTTCACCCTCACTAAACCCATATCTATTTTGCAAAATTCGTTTTGCTTTCTCTCTGATAATCTCTTCTTCCGAATTTTTTGAAGGCTTGGTTACAACTATTCTACAACTACCTTCAACTAAATTTATAATTTTATTTTTCCCACCTCTCTGATTAGGTATCAATACACTTACCTGATCATCGCTAAATTTGAATCCTTCTCGAAGACGCCTGCGTGCCTGATTCCGCTTTCTATCATCAGTTAGATTCTCGAGAAACTCTGAGGTGTATTGACTGAGATCGGCCACACTCATCTCGGAGCTGAGATTATATTTTTCTATGATTTTGGTTGCGATGGCTGACATGTTTGAATGTATAATAGGTTATGAATAGTTCTTTAGGTTATATACACTATAAAAATATTTTTTCAAATCGAAATTAATTATCCTTTTTCCTCCCATGTTTGGAAAAAGAGAGTATATACGTATGGGTAACTGAGATGTCAATTTGAAATTTACTATTACATATGATATAACGAAAAAAATTATAGTTTTGGAGTTGCGATCCAGGCTATATTAAGATTTACGATTCATTTTATTTTTTTTTTATAATTCTTGAAATAGATTCCAGTATGTTTCTATACTTATAAACCACTTCTTATAAATATCGGGTCTATTTTCCATTATATCAATCGGTGGTACCATAGCTGGATAGGACAGAGCATTCACGAATCTAATTTGTTCGGGATAATAATAATCCATAATATCTGGTAATTGTAAAAATTTGGCTAAATCTTTTACGTACCTAAAACCATTGCGCATTAGTTTGCGAAATGTTGGCCCATTGTAATCGATCTCTCTCTTGGTTAATAAGTTGACTACTTTCTGGAGTGTTTCCATTTTTAGGTGTGATGTATAGTGTCAATATATGTTCGATTATATTGTTACAAAATACTTTGGAAAAGTTTAAATTGATTTTATATTAAATATATTTACATAAAAAAGTGAAACGGGCTTTATACGTTATATATTAAATCACTTTGAATGGGGTATCCAACCAATCAATACGTTAAAGAAGACAATTCGAAGTGTTCAACATATCAATATGTTAAAAGAGATAGTCCGGGGCGTTCAACCTGCCCATATGTTAAAAGAGATGGTTCGATTTGTGGAAAAAGTTGTTGGCGGGACATAGGGTACTCGTTGCACTGGAAATTATATGATACGAATATAGCAAAATTTCCTTGTGGGATCTGTGGAAAACTAACAATTTCTGGGACGGGATATTGTCCTAAACATGCGAAGAGGGTTTACTTTCGAAATTGGTATGAGAGACAAAAGGTACAGAGAATAGAAGCAGATGAATAATTATACTCACTTTTATTAGATATTAGTTTTAAGCGTCACAAAAATGGTCTTCGTAGTGGGATATATCATGGATCCTAAATACCCGCTTTAAATGATATCAAACAATTCTTGACGCAACTGTATATCAGAACTGGGAGCGATCTCTAATTCATCAGGTGAGAGTTTACTATACCCATAACGTATATCCTCACCATTTTCATAGAATTGTTCTTCACCTGTTTGGTAGGGTAACAACTTTGGGGCGCTTTCTTTATCGAATGGACCTACTAGATGATAATGGGTTCGTTTATTGTTAGTAGCTTTAAACTTTATCCCATAAGTTGCGGAAAGTGCTGAATTTAATAAACCAAGTTTCGCTTTATCCGATTTTAAACCAGATTTTTTAGCACTACGAGACGTGTCTGTATTATCAAAAACTCGGGCCATTTTTGGTACTAAATCTTGGAGATACTTCATAGACTTAGGTGATTCTAAACACGATTTAACAATACCAGCTGTATATCTATCCCGATCATCAATATCTTTAATAGGTATACAAGTCTTTAGTAATTCCAGACAAATTCGATGCTTCTTAGCTTGGGTAGCAATTGTAAGTCTATCATTTCTATAATCTTCACGGATAATGGTCTCAACTGATGTTTCATTATTAGTGCCTGCATCTCGTAGTTTCCGGAGGTTTCTGAACCATTTCATATGATCATATTTGCCATAATCTGTGATAAATTCCTCTGTTAAAGATTCAGGTGACATCCCGTAGCAATCTGCAATATAATACCGGCTTAGCGCATACATTTCTTCTAAAGTCTTCTTTGGCTTGTTTTCTAGATGTTCAGCCATCTCATGATTGAGAATATTGGCGTTGGCAATGTCTGAAATTTCCTCTGCTTTAATAGCCGAAGAATACCCCTTTACTGTTTTAGTTAATGTCACGGTATCATCTTTAGCTTTTGGAGTGGTTTTTATTGTAGAAACTACCATACCTGCCTTTTTAAGAAAATCTACCATTCTCCATCCAAATAAACAACGAGATCGGAATTTTTCCAATGTGTGGGCAACCCACAATCGAACTGTTGGGATGTCCTTATTTTGAATAATGGATTCTACATCTGGAAATATTTCTTTATTCTGAAGTTCTTGAAGGAGAGATTCGCGTTTAGCTTTTAACAACCAGTGGAATAACCCCTCTTCGGTAATTGGGAGATTTGATGATCTTTGTTCGATGTGGCATGTGTATTCTTTAATACATCTCATACGGAATAACATCTGATTAGTCCCAGCATTTGTTTCTATATAACTATTAAAAAGACAGAATGCACGCTCGAACTTGGGATTAATACACGAAACTCCTATTTTTAATGTACCTGTATATGCAACAAGATCCACCTCTTTCCATGCTTCTTCTACATCACTAAAATCACGAGCCTTTTCTACTGGATCAGATTTACCATGATAATTTTTAATACGTAACTCAGGAAAATCAGTTCTAAGAGCATGAACAATTCCTTGTACATCTTTTCTCAGATGGCAAATGAGCGATGCACTTTTTCGTTCATCGAAAGGTAATGAAGACATCTGCTTTGCCCAATCCCAAAGTTCGGTTAATACAGTTTCTTTATTAGATGCTAAGCAGAACATTTTACCTTTCTGGAGTTGGTAAGTATTATGGATAACTGAAAAATGCTTGCCCCTTCAAAGTGATTTAATCTATTCTATATTGAGATTAGTTAGATCATTATCCATAACAATAATGTGTCTCACTTCATGGATTAACTTATACAAATGCTCTCTTGATTGCCCTGCTAAGTGAGTGTGGGCTTGACTATTCACGGATACTATCTCATCTAATTATAAATAATATGATATTGGAGGACACTTATATTTTTTCTCGCATTTGCAATTATTAGTAATGCGATGTAAACTACTCTTTGATAATCTGAAAGATTTATATCTTTAGTATCAATATCATAGTAGGATTTAAGATTTAACCTTGTAGTAACAGCACTAGAATAGATATGTCGTATAGATAAAGCAAACAAATTATACCATCGGGAATAGTAAAGTGTTCTAACGTATAAGTTTTTCCTGTTTTCCAAGGTGA